ATCACGAGTGTTGCTCTCTGTTGTGGGGCCCCTGAGAGCCCTCCCTGGCAGCCCCTGGGAGCCCCTAGGAGCACCCCTAAGAGCCCCTCCTGGGAGCCCTCCCTGGGAGCCCCTTTGGGAGTCCCTGGGAGCCCCTGGGAGACATGCTGCAACTCTCCCGCCCAGAACAACGCCGTCAACACTAATATACCGGTTATTAGTTCCCTTCATTTAGGCTTTATGAATAACAAACCTGAAGTATGTAATGAAAATCATTGTGAATTTAGCCAGAAAGTGTATAGTCGTATTAGTGCTCTCTCCTCCTAATTACCTTACCTTAGTCACGAAAGTTCGTAACTGATATATTTGCGTTTTAGGGAATAATTATCGTGTATAATCTGGTTAGGTTAAAGCTTAAGATAAAGATAATGATGCTCGGTACGTTACCTGTGTCGGCCCAGGGCAGGATAGTCGGCACCTTCAGGGCCGAGTCCAGGCAGAAGGAGACTGAGTGAGGACCTTTCTTGCAGGGCAAGTTGCCGTCAAAACTGTCCGGGGCCGAATTGGTTTGTTTCCTCTGGAAAAATCTGCGACGTTTTTCTGCTGGTTTGAGGGCTGTGAGGTCGGCAGTGTAGGGTAGGGGCGGCGCCCCTGTCAGGTCCGGGGCGGCGGCCAGGGCGGCCAGGTCAGCGTACACGGTACTACGGGTCTCGTCCACAGACAACTGGTGCACCAGGCGGAGTTTAGTGGCAGCTGAGAGACTGGTGTAGAGGCCGTTGAAGATTCCTGTCCGAGATTCCCTTCTAGGCATTTGTGACGGTAGTTCCTTCAGATGGGACGTCAGTTCGTCCTGATCGAAAGACTCGCCGTCCACGAGGGCGTCCCCCGGGGGCGGCGACCCCCCCAGTGACCCTGGTGACGTTTGGCCACCGAACTCCATCACCGCTGGGGCGCACATGAATTCCACAGGCCAAGCTTGGTGTGGCTTGTGGCCTTCTACAGGCGCGCAGTAACTGCTTGACCTCTGTCTGTGTGCACCGCTGCGCCGGGGTGGCGACGGCTGCCACACCGCGGCACCTGTTGCGCCCTCCACGTGCGGCGCCGCGGCTCCACTCCCTCCCCTCGGGTCTGAGGGGAGGTCATTGCTCTTATCAAAACTTTTGTCTACACTGTTTCGTTCACTGCTGTGTCCACTCGGCTGACGCTCACAGAATTTCTTCGGCTTGACAGGATTGGGTCGCTCGTCATCCGGGACGCCGACCTGGACAGCGGCGTCGACGTGCCACGGCTCTAAGAGGCAGCAGACGCGGTCCGCGAGGCCGCCCACCAAAGACTCGTGAAGTGGAGAAGAGCAGGTGGGCTGGCCCACACCTGCGCAGCCGCACCAGGACCCCTGCCCACCGCCGCCGCTCTCCCACACTACGGGACTACCCGTGTGGCGGGGGCTGCCCACTCCGCTGGGAGTGTCCGCGCCGCTCCCCGCCGCGCTGCCCGCTGCCTCGTCCTGAAGCACCCACGGGAGGCTGGACGGCGGCTGGCAGGAGTCAGCGGCGGCCACAGAGCCCCAGGGAGATTCGAACAAGGAGTCAGAGAGCGCGCGACGACTCGCCCATTGCTTCCGTAGCTGCACCGCCCGCGACGACATCCTCAGTAGCCGAGCACAACCTGGAGATACAAACATGGCACCTATAGTATGCAAGCACTTCGGTAGTAGGTGCAGTATTAGTTTAAAATAAGTAGTCACATAATCATTCCTTACCTATCCCACACAATTTGAATACACACAAGACGCTATTGTGCAAACTTGTGCAACAAGATGGAGTAACTGAGCAGTGGGTGTACTCGAGTGATTAAGACAATCAATCACAAACGGAATCAAACAATAATAATCAGATTGGAGAGATCAGAATTGAATGAAATATCAAGCGAAGCACCGCAGAAATCAGTGTTGGGATCAGTACTGATCTGACATCAATAACATAACTGAGGGGGAATCCTCTATGTCAATGTTTGCCGACGTACAAAACTGATGAGAAGAGTCAGAAAGAACAGTATTACAGAATACTTCAGGCAGACCTGGAGAGAGAGTCTGAAAAAGCGTAGCGTTCAGGCACATGAACAAGGAAGCTTTCAGGACATCGCATACTACTTATATCAACAAATAATAGAACATGTAGCCACAGTGTGTAATACCCAGCTGAAATAGCAAACAGAAAAGGAAATTCCAAAGGTTTGCTACAAGACCCTGACTTAGAGGACTGAGCTTCGAGGACAGGTTGAGGCAACTAGACCTCACCACTGAAAGAGGTCACATTACAATATATAAGATTCCTTGAGTAATTGACAAACTTGACACTCAAAATGGACAGAGGAAACTAGAAACTTAGCTAAGCAATAGATATGCAAGAAAAAACTTCAGTACAAGAAGTTAACAAGGGAGGTAGTTGAGGATAACTGTACATTGTTTCAAAGTATGATTAAAACAAGCCAGTCTGGAGCCATTATATTAGGCGACTGAAAGGTGGGGCACAAGAGCTATATGAACGATCACATCATTTGTTCACACACCCAGACCATCACCAGAGATAGCCTGACTAGCAACAAAATAGTCGATCACAAATGCTAAACTCAATCACAAATGCTAAAAAAAAAATACGTATTACTAAGCAAAACAATAAATGGTAAAAAATATAAATAAATCGTTCAGAAATCTTAAAATCAATATAAATTAAAAAGACCAAGACAATAAAAGTTTACAAAATATATAAAGCCTATCAGCCTACTTCTAGAAGATCAAATTAATGTGTAAACAACGAAGCCGAGGACTTTGAATTGTTCAATTTAGGTTTCATTTTAGCAGAATGAATCGATTCCAAGATGTTAAATTCTAACCTAAATTAATTAAGTCAATTCAATGAATTCGCTCTAAGTGAAAGAGTGATAAACTGCGGGAGACCTGCTACATTATACCTATTAATCATTAACAAGTTTTTTCCTAGAATAAGAAAGCAGGTGACTTTTACAAGTCAGTAATTTTTTTACAATTCAGCGATGGTCTAGCGGTAGAGTACGCGACTGGCAATGCTGGGGTCGTAGGTGATGTGATTTCTGTGTGTAATATCATTATTAGTATACAAAAAGAGTACTTCATTGTCACTAAATTGAAGTATCATTAATTCCCTGCTTGTCTCTTAGCTGATAAACTCTGCATCTGTTGTGTTATACATTCTGAAACCTACACTCCTGGTGAAGCCTAAAATATTGTATAAATTAATTTTAACTAATTCAAATCTAAGGTAACTTGCTTAGCTTAAAATCATTGGATTCAGTTCATATACATATCACGTGATTCTGTAACCCTCCCGCCAAAGCTCACAGGATGGGCGTAGAGTCAAAAATAAGCTACTTAAACTAAATTGCTATAATTACGAAGGCCTACATTATGAGGGAATGGATGCCAGTTAGAGCTATACATGCCATATGACCCACAAGCCGCCGACTTCCAGTCCTCGTCGAGGCCACTAGAGTGTAAGTGGCCCCTCAGGTAAATTCAGGTAAGGACTTGTATAGTCAACTTTATACACCACATACCCATCTTTTGGGCGGGAGTGAAACGACATTCAGTTTGAACGACAGCGACGCGCACATATTGCTATCCATAAAAGCAGCAAAATTTCATATCACAGCTAATTCAAATAATTTATACCGCTATAAATGATGTAAAGACATGAATGTAAAGAAATGTATGTTTATCACTTAGAATGTTCCGTAATATGTTGATTGTTTGTGATGTGTGTGTGTGTGTGTGTATATAGATGAACACGTTGTACTAAACTGGGTGAGAATACCTTGAACTACCTCATCCCTTTTTGTGTATTTATACCTCAATAAACTTATTTCAATTCAATCCTGATGTAGTCTACATCAGCGCGAGCAAGTAGGATACATAGAAAATGACCATTTTCTTTGGAAGGTGTATCATAGAAAACAAGAGTTTAATGACCAACCATAATATTCTTAAAGTATATATAACCGATAACGTTTTCAATGCCACATTATAAAGGACGATTGTTAATGATGATGACAGTGTCACCATTATTAACACTATATCTTAACTCGCTATACACTGTGTCACCGTGACAGTGTATAGCGAGATAAAGAGCATAGTTAACTAGTGACAAAGTTATCATATGTGAAGTGCGAAACAGCAATTTCGTTACAATTGGTCATGTAGCAGTTACGTCTTTGGCTAACAACCAAGAATCCCGGGTTCGATCCCTTGACAGGACAAAGACGGCTGTGCACGTTTCCTTTTACCTGATGCATCTGTTCACCTTGTAGTAAAGAGATACCCAGGAGTTAGGCGTGGAGATTTAGTAGTTGGTCAAAGAGGACCTCAGTAAGGTATAACAATTCATTATATCGCGGGACAGGCAGCCAGTATATGTATACATGTTAGGCTTATATTGAGGTACCCTTCCCCAAGGTCAAATACTGACCTCCCCCCCCCCTTCACCAGGATGCAACTCCACAACAAACTGACTAACTCCTGGGTATCTATTTACTGCTAGGTGAACAGGTACATTAGGTGATAGAAAACGCGCCCAACCATTTCCCTCCCGCCCGGGATTCGAACTCGGAGTTCTCGAGTATGAGTCAAGAACGAGCCCGCCTGTACTACCGACCATACGATAATAGTGATAGCAGCAGCAGCAGCAAAAAAAAAATTAAGATGAGAAGTTCGTGAGACTTTTTTCGTTTAAGTATATTTATATTCATGAAATCCATTGATGTATCTACGAGAATGATCTATTATCTCGTGCATCTACGAGAATTACTTCAGTCGAAATTATATTGGAATAACATATAAATAATATTTATAAAATCATTCCGATAATTGGAAGATGAAAGTCCCTTCTCGTGGATAATCAGGTTTATTTAATTTCCGTCGACCAGCATAACAGAATTCTCGTTTTCGTGTCCTTCAAGGTCTTCCTCTCCTTCAAGGTCTTCATCTCCTCCTACAAGGTCTTCATCTCCTCCTCCAAGGCCGTAATCTCCTCCTCCACGATCTTAATCTCCTCCTCCAAGAACGTCCTATTCTCCTCCACGGTCTTAATCGCCTCCTCCAAGGTCTTAATCTCCTCCTCCAAGAACGTCATCTCCTCCTCCAAGGTCTTAATCTCCTCCTCCAAGAACGTCATCTCCTCCTCCAAGGTCTTAATCTCCTCCTCCAAGAACGTCATCTCCTCCTCCAAGGTCTTAATCTCCTCCTCCAAGAACGTCCTATTCTCCTCCAAGGTTTTAATCTCCTCCTCCAAGGTCTTAATCTCCTCCAAGAACGTCCTATTCTCCTCCAAGGTTTTAATCTCCTCCTCCAAGGTTTTAATCTCCTCCAAGAGCGTCCTATTCTCCTCCAAGGTCGCCATCTCCTCCTCACTACTGCAAGGTTTTGGAGTAGTAGCAATAGTGGTAGTTAGTGATAGTAGCAATAGCATAATAATATTAATATGAGGAGTGGTAGCTTTAGTAGAAGCTGAAGGGATATTGGGAGAAGTATCAATATTATTTCAATTTATTATTATTATCAATTTCGTGGCAGTTATTTTTCTAAGAAAAATCGACAGACATTTAGCTCATAATTATAAGAATTATTTAGCATAAACTCTCCATATTGGGTGACTGCTGAGGCCAAACACAGGGCCTGAAGACGACATTATTGTCCTTATTAGACAATAATGTATGTATGCCAAAAGTATGCCTGACATTACTGTCAGGCATACTTTTGATCACAACGGTCGTGTTCACAAAAGTGTTTGTTGTCAAGTGGAATAAGTACAAAAGTGGGCAGTCTCTCGCAGGGAATCAGAGAGAAGAAGACAATTTCCATCGGCAAGAGTTGAATCCAAAGTGTGGTAGTCCCCTGGTTAATGACCGGCAGGGATATTCATTCAAGGACACAATCCCACCACAAAGCTGAGATGATGGACCTGTTTCAATCAGCAGGAAAACTGACTTACTTGCAGACCAATTTGCTGCCAAGGTGTAGCTAGGTCTCTAGCCAAGAAAGACAACCTCCACAGCTTGCTCCAAGCACTGTGTCAAAGTTTTCAGCAATGGCTATCAGCCAAGAAAGCCATCAGCTCCCTAAATCACTCGACATAGGTAAGGGGCTGAGCGGCTTGCAGGTACACCTCCCACTCAAGGTGCAGCTTGGTACCGAACCTGAACAGTTTACACTATACGTTACAGGTCTGCTTCGACACTGTAAGCAGAGGGATTACATTCCGGTTCCCAATCTTTCACGGCTATATCGTTGAGCCTAAATGAACATAATCCTATCCCAGCACGCACAGAAGACAGATCTTCTGGAGCATCTCCAGGATACCAAAACTTTACTTGGTGTATTGGCGATGTGGAATTTAGACCGTAGATTTCACTCGGTGGTCCGCGCTAGTAGACTGTATACCAGTCTGCATTTATGATGTTGTCGTTTTAGATTCAGCTACTGGGAACAAAAAGTTCCAAATAGCACGGGCTATGGTGAGCCCCTAGTGGACTTACCTGACACAGGAACGGGACTGTAACGTTCATTTATGGAAGGCCATTTTGTTTATAGTGGTGATGGAGATTTAGCTACCCAAGAGGTGGCATGGTGAATAGCCCGTAATTTATACTGGCGTATATATATATATATATATATATATATATATATATATATATATATATATATATATATATATATATATATATATAAATATATATATATATATATATATATATATATATATATATATATATATACGCCACTCTGTTTTTACCTTTTAGTATTCTGTATATCGGAGTTATAACTAAAAAATCACTTTGTTCATATATTAGTTTTTCATTAAATGTATATTTATTTATTTGTTATAATTTATTTTAAATTATGTGACATCATAAGATGGCAGCAAAGATCAAAATGAAACTCTTTTGGGATTTCTCATTTTAGCTAAAATTATATATATATATATATATATATATATATATATATATATATATATATATATTATTTGTTCTCGTCAAGCAATATAACGTAATTGAATTTGTTGGTATTGGCCTCAATTAACACTGGATTTCAAGAGCTCCATGTTTCATCGGGCCTAAGTCGCACGGGATGTACACGCACACAACTTCAAACACTCTATTACACCCACACACACATACACACCCACACACGCACACACACACACACACACACACACTCGCGAACATCCAAACACGTATACAGCCCCAAAAGCACCCTCACAAAACACCCCCCCCCCAAACACATACACTCAACTAGAAACACAAGAACCAGCAAACACATACACACAAACACGCGCCAGCTCCTTAAATTTTAATAAAATACAGTTGGCGAGGTTTCTGTAAGGTGTTGACGTGGGAGCAGACCAACATCAAAGACCCGCTTCCTATGAGGATATTAATTTTGGGGAAATATTTGAGCCTGTAACCCCCCCCCCCCCCCCTAACTTACTTTAAGATTCACTTTTATACTGAACAGTAAAACCTGTTCAGTAAATACGGAAGAGATTTACATGCGTTAAAGTAAGAGATACAGTTTACAATAATTACACAAAGGAACGAAACACTAAACTCAACTCACGGAATTATTAAAAAAGGTAAAATTTAATAACATGCACCAACAACAATGACGAATTCAAAATTACAATTATGACCGAAAAGATTAAGAAAAACTTATACAAAAAAATTAAAACTAATTATAGATTACGAATTACACACGTTATTAAAAAACAAAAACATTATTTTTTTTATAACGTGTCTTCTGCAAACCACAATAATCGTGGAAAATATATTTCATTCACTGTATGAACTATCATGTAACTATTCATGCATTATCGAAGCCTCGAACCCACGACCACCCCAGTGGAAAATTATAGTTCTACTGAATAGGCTACGAACACCCGCAATAAGAGAGGTACCACTGGTATTCAACTGGAGCTTTAGGCCTCTCCACTTGAGTCTGGAGGAATTAGGTAATCCACGTGCCAGTCATAGAAGTTGCAACCCACAATAATCATGAATATAACATTTTGGGGACTTGGACGTATTTGGATCGTACGACCGTCCAAATCTTTCACCCTGTCCATGGAGGACAGAAGAAAATGTATATATGCTAGTTAGCATTGTAAATGTGTGGCCACGTCTGTGGTAGAAAATAATAATAATAAAAAAAAAACTTTTTACTGTCGTTGGTTGAGATGAGATGAGATGCTAACTAGGCTGTTACCCTGGCAGCTTAGGTTCGAATCCTTAAGGGATTATTTAACGTTATATATATTCTTACTTCCCTACCACTAGCCTCCCTCTCCCTCCATCTCTACCTCCCTTCTTAACTAAATTTTCCGTGCTAACTTCCGAGAGGTGATCGTTTCCTTCCTTGCATCTTCTGGTGTCGATACCACCGCCTCCCTTCCTTGGGGGCCCAGGTGACTTCCAAGCAATTTCGTGTCATTTTCATTAATGTTTCAATCTCTATACTTCCTTAGGGAAAGAGCTGGAACTCCATTAGCTGTGTCGTGTAATTTGTGTGTGTGTTTATATTTACTATTTGTATCAGCAGAGTCGAGCTATATTAGCTCTTAGAAACCACCTTTCTAACCAATTTATTTTTCCTAAAGCTCTTGAAGGAATGATTAGGAACCTCATCTGTCGTCGTAGTTTAGTGTTGTACAACCTTTACTACACTACACAAAGAAATCACAATAGCGTGATGCATCAATGAACAAATCCACAAAGGCCGTGACGAGGATTCGAAACTACATCTGTGAGCATCTCAGACGCTGCCTTAATCGACTGAGCTACGACATGGTAAAAAGGAGTTGAAACCGAAGTTCTACTGAACTTACTGGATCCTGCAGCCTCTCCGAGACACAAACCAGGGTTTTACACAACTTCCCCCTGCACTCGAGCTATGTCAATAGGCCGTTCTACGTATTCGCCCTTCCTTCATTACACACAGAAATCACAATAAGGTGATGCCTCAATGACCAAATCCACAAGGGCCGTGACGAGGATCCAGTAAGTTCAGTAGAACTTCGGTTTCAACTCTTTTACCCTGTCGTAGCTCAGTCGATTAAGGCAGTGTCTGGGATGCTCACAGACGTAGGTTCGAATCCTCGTCACATATATATATATATATATATATATATATATATATATATATATATATATATATATATATATATATATATATATATATATAATTCTAAACATTAGACGGTAAGAGATTAATCTGAGAGAATGTGAGGAAAGATTATGCCCGAGTTTCGCGTCACAGGTGATGACGTTAACAAAGATGGAGGCAGACAAACAGGTTTTCCGCCAATCACGAGCGAGATAGTGGGTGACGTCATGACCGAACGATCCAATCAGGAAGAAGAAGAAGAGCTGAAAACATGAGTCGAGTGCAAAGTGTAATAGTTAGAACCCGCATTTTCGAGCTAGACGTTCGTGTGCACCACCTGAGTATTGGTCAGAACAACCAGGAAGGTTCGGTATACCTTTGGGAACCTTGGATGTATTCTACGACTGTGGAGCCTTGAAGGTACAGGTGAGTGAAGTACGTATCTGTCCCGCCTGGTGGTGGAGAGTCAGCCATCTTGAACCACATGGTGCCCTGTATGACCGGCATGGCTCCTGTTTCATTATAGGAGACCTTCACTGAATGTTTGGTGACCAGTGAAGCTAATGGTCTAGTGTTTAGTGCGTGATGTTATTGTGGCACAGACGGCTGCAGATAAAACGCTGATCCGGCGTTCATACCAGGATACTTGTGATTTTTTTTTTTTTTTTTGTGATATATACAAGAGTTGTTACATTCTTGTACAGCCACTAGTACGCGTAGCGTTTCGGGCAAGTCCTTAATCCTATGGTCCCTGGAATACGATCCCCTGCCGCGAAGAATCGTTTTTTCATCCAAGTACACATTTTACTGTTGCGTTAAACAGAGGCTACAGTTAAGGAATTGCGCCCAGTAAATCCTCCCCGGCCAGGATACGAACCCATGACATAGCGCTCGCGGAACGCCAGGCGAGTGTACTGATGGTATCCTGGTATGTTTGTGCTGCTTGGTAACTGTTCTCGCCTAGTTGTGCTTGCGGGGGTTGAGCTTTGGCTCTTTGGTCCCGCCTCTCAACTGTCAATCAACTGGTGTACAGATTATACACCCGTGCACAATCAACTGTGTGACTTACAACCCAGCCTATCAAACAGTACATCACATTTTGATGTATAAATCCCCCTAAGACCAAAAACTGATGTACTAACAATCATAGCGGCTCGCAAATATTGACATGTCCCGTTTTCAACTGGATACTCGGTTCAACCCGTCCTAATAAAGCGTCGCATTTTGACGCATACTCTTACC